GATTCCCTTTGCATTAAAGAGTCTTGCTATCAAAGTCACTTCAAAGTTAATGGAATCATACTCAAAGGACAGACCACTGCAAAACAACACAGGTTATCAAGAGGTAAAGCTGTGCTGCTCCACTCCTCGCCAATTTCTATTGAGTTAAACCAAGGACAACCTCACTTCCAGCAGGTTTTGAAATTAGCTCTCCATATCTTGTACAGCTTTATTCTTAGTGCTGTTACACAAGTTACCTTACCTGGATTTGTGGTATTGCAGTGGACTGGGTGGGGGTGGGGGTACAATTCCCAGGAAACTACAAACAGCATCCTTCCTTCCTTCCCTTAGAGGTCACAGGGAACCAGGGAGAGGGCCTTCTCGGTTGTCGCACCACCCCCTTCTTACATATTTCTTATTTATTCCATAAAATTTATACATGTGCATTTTTTAGCACTGTGATCTCACACTTTTTTACGAGCCGTGCAGTTGACTAAACAGAGCAGTTGCAGGGTATGTAACATGCACAGCTACACACACAAGACATTGTACACATTATACTCACAAGACATGATACACAGGATTATATCTATGCAGGCAAAAAAGAGAAGATGTCTGATGCAGCACTTATTGGCTAGTTTCCCCCTTGCTGTGACTTTGTTTTTCATTCTTTCATTTGAATAATGGCTGCACTTGTGCAATAATTATACTGAAGCTTAACCTTGCTGCTCCAATTGACTCCTATGCAGATATGACACAAGCTATGTAAGGATCTGCTGAGTAAGTTTTGTAGCCTGAGACCTCAATTCAGAAACCTAATCTGTGAGGCACACACTTAGTCCTGGTATTTGGGTATGGTATTCTACAGTACAGTGGTACCTCAGGTTAAGAACTTAATTCGTTCTGGAGGTCTATTCTTAACCTGAAACTGTTCTTAACCTGAGGTACCACTTTAGCTAGTGGGGCCTCCTGCTGCTGCCGCGCTACCACGTGATTTCTGTTCTCATCCTGAAGCAAAGTTCTTAACCCGAGGTACTATTTCTGGGTTAGCAGAGTCTGTAACCTGAAACGTCTGTAACCTGAAGTGTCTGTAACCCAAGGTACCACTGTATATGCATATACATAAGGATTCATTACTTGCAGTAGGATGCAGTAGGATATTAAGACTGATTTCTCCTTTTTAAAAAACAAAAATTTCATTGGTGTATACATTGCTGGTACATTTATTCCAAGAATTTACACTTAACACCATGAACCGTATGAAAACGAACAGGTTTTGATGTATAGGGTTGCTGTTGTTTCCTGGGGCACGCCATCTGATATTTTCATTAGCTAAGAACATGCATGCATAATCCACACACAGTTATGAATGCTTCCTAAGCAGGTTGCCATATGTAAAACTCCCAGCTCAGGCCAAGAAAATTTGCATATTATGCAAATTAATTGTGTTAATTTGGTGAATAAGATGCACTCTGTGTAATTTTAGCAACTTATAGCTAACTAGTTGCTAAATAGACCAGAGAAAATGAGGGAAAGGAGAGAGGTGTTCTTAGCCATTTTGCTTCCTACTCTGATGTTTCTCGGCTTATGCACAGCTTCTATACTCTGTGAACAACCAACACAGAGTGTCTGACACTGCCTGGTAATTTTTAGAAACACACAAAAAATGTGATTTTTAAATGGATAGTGCAATTTGTGAGCTGGGACCTGTCATGCCAAAAATCAGGTAAAATCATGCCAAAATCACATTTTAGTCCACCATCTTGATTCAAAATAGTGTTGTTGTTGTTGTTTAGTCGTTTAGTCGTGTCCGACTCTTTGTGACCCCATGGACCAGAGCACGCCAGGCACTTCTGTCTTCCACTGCCTCCTGCAGTTTGGTCAAACTCATGCTGGTAGCTTTGAGAACACTATCCAACCATCTCGTCCTCTGTCATCCCCTTCTCCTTGTGCCCTCCATCTTTTCCAACATCAGGGTCTTTTCCAGGGAGTCTTCTCTTCTCATGAGGTGGCCAAAGTATTGGAGCCTCAGCTTCAGGATCTGTCCTTCCAGTGAGCACTCAGGGTTGATTTCCTTAAGAATGGATACGTTTGATCTTGCAGTCCATGGGACTCTCAAGAGTCTCCTCCAGCACCATAATTCAAAAGCATCAATTCTTCGGTGATCAGCCTTCTTTATGGTCCAGCTTTCACTTCCATATATCACTACTGGGAAAACCATAGCTTTAACTATATGGACCTTTGCCAGCAAGGTGATTTCGCTACTTTTTAAGATGCTGTCTAGGTTTGTCATTGCTTTTCTCCCAAGAAGCAGGCGTCTTTTAATTTCGTGGCTGCTGTCACCATCTGCAGTGATCATGGAGCCCAAGAAAGTAAAATCTCTCACTGCCTCCATCTCTTCCCCTTCTATTTGCCAGGAGGTGATGGGACCAGTGGCCATGATCTTAGTTTTTTAGAAATTGAGCTTCAGACCATATTTTGCGCTCTCCTCTTTCACCCTCATTAAAAGGTTCTTTAATTCCTCCTCACTTTCTGCCATCAAGGTTGTGTCATCTGCATCTCTGAGGTTGTTGATATTTCTTCCAGCAATCTTAATTCCGGCTAGGGATTCATCCAGCCCAGCCTTTCGCCTGATGAATTCTGCATATAAGTTAAATAAGCAGGGAGACAATATACAGTGACTGGCAGCTAAACATTGACAGAGACTGCCAACCCCACCTCAGGGATGCTCATGCAGAGTTTGGCAATGGTATTGTGAGAGAGGGCTATGTAAAAAAATGGGTGAACTCATGCTCAAGTGATATTTCGGATGACTATCTTGATTTAAAATGGATCCCAGTGTCCAAATGACAATGAAGTTTCCTGACCCACAACAGGAACCTTCTTGCCAAGTTTGGGGATCTCTCAAGAGGAGACCAAACCTATGCCCGAAAATGGGTGAAGTGACATTGAAGTCATGTTTTGATCTGTCATCTTGATTCAAAATGGCACCTGACATATAATGACAAAGAAGTCTGCCCCACCCACCTCAGTGGATCTCTCCAGTGTTGATGGTGTAGTATCTCATGTTTACATAATGGAAGATAAGCCTTCTATTCAGCACATAAATGTCTATTAGGGCAGATCTGCAGTATACATTTAAAGCACATTTAACACACATGACTCCCTTCCCCAAATCCTGGGAATTCTATTTTGTTAAGGGTGCTAGAAAGGCTAGCTCTTTGAGAGGAAATCTATAGTTCCTATGAATCTTTGAATGAAGTAATTTGCTTTAAATAGTTTTGAATATTTTTTAAATGTACAGTGTGGATCTGCCCCTTAGTCTGTTCTGTTAGTCAGTCAAAGGGAAGGACAGGTACTCTGGGAAGAAGATTAAAAATACAGTGGTACCTTGGGTTAAGTACTTAATTCATTCCGGAGGTCCGTTCTTAACCTAAAACTGTTCTTAACCTGAAGCACCACTTTAGCTAATGGGGACTCATCCTGAAGCAAAGTTCGTAACCTGAGGTACTATTTCTGGGTTAGCGGAGTCTGTAACCTGAAGCATATGTAACTTGACGCGTATGTGACCTGAGGTACCACTGTATCAAGTAAAAGTATCTGAAGTGATCTTTCAGTTGGGAGAGAACAGCAGTTGTGTGTGGGGTGCAAGGCAGGGAGAATGTTTAAGAAAAGTGAGAAAGCCTGCAACTTTTAGCCAGTAGATTAATCAACTTAACATTTTGTTAATTAGTCTTCACTGATGGACCCTACTGAATTAGAGGCACACTTGCCTATTTTTTTAATAGTTATTTTGGTTGTAGGAATATAATTGTTTTATTATTTCATTTTATTTTTATACATGACCATAAAAATATGAACTACACAATAAAATGTATCCCAATAATATATTTCTAAAATAAAAAGTACAAACATTAATACCCCATCTTTCCATTAAATATTATGAAGGTGGCAAACAACAATGAACTCAATTATAAAACCAAGCAATCCACAAACAAGTAATTAATATCACACACATAGTGATAAAAGCAGATAAAAAAGGAAAGACAGCCAGTTGAAAAAACATAATCAAATTAGAACTATAGAGCAGCAGAACAAAAGAAAACAGCCACTAGTCCAAATGCCTGTTTAAATAAAAAGGTTTTCCCTGTCTGTGGAAGCAATGGAAGATAATATTACAGACGGCCTTGTACAACGAGCGCTTGTAAATTGTAAGCTCACTATCTTAGAAAGACCCCTCTATTGCAAAGTTGGCAGCATATACATTATTTAGATTTAATCATATAATTAATCAATGACTTGTATAAGAATGTGGGGCAAACAGACAGAGCAGCAGCAATATCTAAGGCCTGAGGAGTGGACATTTCCCATTACCACCCCCCCAGAGCCCTCATAAGACACCACAGCCTTGTAAAATAATCGTATTATGTGTTCCTAGGAATTCATTTTCACTTACTGTCAGCTGTCTTGGAGCCCTGTTGTCAGGCAGAAAGGCTGTATATGAATATTTCAAGTAAATAAATAAATCGCAGATGATTAATGAATGGTGTATAATGGCGTTTGTGATCTGAGCTGTGTATGATAAGGCATTGAAAATAGTTGCTGTAGCTCTGTTCTTCCACTGTCAAAATGTTACAGTTTAGGAATGTGTGAGAACTGAAGGGAGGGGGTTACTGTTAAATTTAGGTTACTGAAATTCGAATTTCATTAGGCAACATTCAATTAATTTTGGCAGGCATTCGCTAGCATACTCCCCACCCTGCTCCTTTCACTGTTTTTTTTGCAGCTGGCTGTGGTAGTAGAAGTGGGAGGAGTTGGCTTTTCTAACCAATCCAGGCAGCCCATATTTACTTTTTCCGACAAGGTCCTGCAGGTCTCTTCATTTCATGGTATTGTGGGAAAAAACAATATGGCGGCTGCTACTGAAATGATAGCTCCTCCACTAGTGGGCATTATCTTTTTCCTGGCAGACCATGAAACAATGCATCATCTGAAGCAGGCATGGCCAAACTTGGCCCTCCAGCTGTTTTGGGACTACAATTCCCATCACCCCTGACCACTGGTCCTGTTAGCTAGGGATGATGGGAGTTGTAATCCCAAAACAGCTGGAGGGTCAAGTTTGGTCATGCCTGATCTCAGGCATTGTAGGAAAAACAAAATGGTGGCTGCCAGGAGAAGCTGTAGAATGAGCCTCCACTGTGCTGTCAGATATAGCAACAAAGCATAGTAAAGCAAAGAGAGAAGTAAAAAGAAGCCAAATATAGCTACAGTGGTACCTCGGGTTACAGGCGCTTCAGGTTACAGACTCCACTAACCCAGAAATAGTACCTTGGGTTAAGAACTTTGCTTCAGAATGAGAACAGAAATTGTGCGGCGGCAGCGGGAAGCCCCATTAGCTAAAGTGGTACCTCAGGTTAAGAACAGTTTCAGGTTAAGAACGGACCTCCAGAATGAATTAAGTTCTTAACCCGAGGTACCACTGTACTTCCACTGCTGGAGAAGCTCCCCACACCTGACGAAATGGACATTTGTGTCCATTCATCCCCCCTCAGCAATCAGCGCAGGACAAACAGAGATTAAACCAAATGGAGCACATCTGGTTTGTTTTTCCATTTGTCCCAAAATGAATGCACGTATCTCTAGTACAATCTGAGCATTGGGACAATAAAGCAAACTCACCACAGGAGCTTTATCTTCAGAGACTTCATCTAGGGGCTTCTATGCAATGAATAAGTAACGTGAGTTTATTTTGTAAAAGGAGGTGGGGGGGAGAGAGGGAGAGAGACTGTTTAACAGGCACAGAATAAACCTTAAGTGCAGAGCTCTGTGATATTGTGAGAAGCTTAGATGAAAAGCGGTCTGTGTTTTTCAGATCCTGCAATTTCAGGTGGCATTTGTGAAAGTAAGCTGTGTCATGTTTGATGTGACTGCTTTCCTGTAGCAGGAGATGTGGCGGCTTTTCTGCAATAGAGAAACTTTGCACATTTGAGCCTTGCGTTCTCCTTTATTAGCAGAGTCTGTCAGTGGACTGAACGCTCCTTAGGGGGCTGTGGTGATTTAGTTACTTCCGCACAGAAAGGATGCATTTGAATACCAAAACCTGCAGCGCCAATTCATCTTTCTGTCCTTTCAACTGCCATTATGAGAGATTTCTCCTGAGCATGGACACAATTATAACTTGGCCCATATCTAGACTGTGTGTTGATTTAAGACCACATGCTATGAGCAAACCATGCCTACCAAACCCTTTGTGAACTGAACAAACAACCCCCTCAAAGAAAAGCACACCAAAGAAACATCTTTATGTAATAAGCTTCTGACCTTCTCAATGAAGCATACCAGCTCTTATTTTCATAGAAATCAGACTTAGATCACTGAGAGCTACTGCTACTCCCTCAGAAGCTGGTGGACTCCCCTTCATTGCAGGTTTTTAAGCAGAGGGGGGACTGGGTGGGTATCTGTCATGGATGCTTTAGCTGAGATTGCTGCATTACATGGCATTGGACTAGATTACTCTTGGGGACCCTTCCAACTCTACAATTCTGTGATTCTATGATTCTATGTAAAAATAAAATTATTGCAATGTTTTCACATATTCCAGAGGGAAGGAAAAGGTCAGGGCATATTTGCCTGTGGTGGTTCGTTTGCATATGTGCATCTGCCAGTTGTCTTAACACTGGGAACCAGTCGGGTCAATTGGAAGCTGGACAGGTTGCAACCCTTCATGACAATAACACGCTCTGAATATTATCCTGCAACCCCAAATGGCTGTGCAGCAACATCTTCTGAATACTTAATGCCAGACTGAGTTTTTGAGGGTTGATTTAGGAAAATGATTAGAAACTAAAATGTAATATTATGCCTATGCTTTCCTAGAGAAAAATCAAAAGTGATATTTTTTTCCATAGCTACCTATAGTCCATTGAAGTCTTCCCACCCTCTGAACTGATCAGTGATAGATCGGAAAAGTTCGAATGTCTTTGAAGGTTTTTTTTAAAGCTATAGCTACAACACACACACACACACACACACACAGCCGTTTCCCCACGGCGATCTGGCTAACAAATTCTGGCTCCAAGATGTGGCAAAGGGCCTTAGGGATTGGTTGCAGATGTGATCAGTTGGGTGGTGAACCATCAAAGGAAGGCCAGCTTGGGTGGTGGGTAAGGCGTTGTGTCTGGATCTTTAACATTTAGGCTCTGTGAAGGGGTAGGGCTGCCCACAAGCCCACACAGGGGCAGACTGGCCAGAGCATGCCTTTGAGAGGCGGCCCTAGAGAGAGCACAACACTTGATGTACGTCAGGGGGGTGGCCTCCTTCTCTCAGGGCCAACCCATCCATTATTCACCAGCAGGTGGGCTGGTTAATAATGGATACATGTCCAATGCCTTCGCCAAAACTGGTTTACATCTGTAATCAATAAAGTTGTGGCCTTTTTCATCCCAATACTGATGTGGGGGCTTGGTTGGCCCCCACTACTGGGCAGTGTGCTGCTTGTGATTGGGCCTGCAAAGCTACACACTAAGTTCCTTTGCCCAATGTTCTCTTAACTTGCAGGCTGAGGTGCCCTCCGCCTGCCTCAACAACTCATCTGACTCAAAGGTTCAGATCTTCCTCCTGCATTTACTTATTTACCCTATAGTTCTTTCTTCATGACTCAGATCATAGCTTATATCCCCTTTTTTACCTGCAATCAAATTTGGGGTGTCTCTATCCTACTCAGTCTCTCAATTTTATCTCCCCTTTGGTGACAGTCTTTAACTGGGGTCACTGCCTGCTTCGGACAAGCTAAGCAAAGGATCCTCTTACACTTTGTCAAATTGTTTGACTTTCTGTTTCTATTCTTGCCCACCCCTTTCCAGGTTAATATTCACATCTGCTTCTGTGACTAACTGCTTGAACCAATGATTCTGTATTGGGTCCTCACCAAACCTTAGTTATTCGGTATGAATTGTTAGCCCATTTACTTTTCTCCTACAAAGGCAACAAAAGGCTGTTATTTCTGGTCAATGAATAGTGTCCTTAAACTTGCTAGCTTTAACTGGCAGATTAATTGAGGCTAATTTTGATCAGTAGGGCTGTTAGACCTGTATCATTTCTGGGGCCATTTTTTTCTGGTAAGGTACTGTAACTCCCCTCTCCAGATCTTTTCACGGAATAGGAGAAGCTGATGTAAGACTGAATGAGAGACAAATTACACAAGACCTTAATGATGTGGTTCTATCTTTCAGTGTGGTTTTCCCCACAACCCACACAATGCCAGCATAGGGTGAGATTTGGATTGCTACCCTAATGTGGCTTTAGATGGGCTTTAGCCCTTTGTCCCCTGCTGTGATTCCAATCTAAATCTACCCCCTCCTGCACTTGTAAATTGCACTGCAAAAACAGTTCCCATTTCTTTCAATGACATTCTTGCTTTGGAGTTTGTTTTTTTTTTTTTTTTAAAAAGAATAAAATAATTGTACAGTTGAAAGGGACCCTGATGATCATCTAGCCCAACCTCCTGCAATGCAGATATATGCAAGTTGTCCCATATGGGGATCAAACCTACAACCTTGGTGTTATCAGCACCACGCTCTAACCAACTGAGCTAAGAAGACAAACTTTGATTTAAATAGGCTGGTCCTGTCAATAAAGGAGCAATTTTCCCATCGCTTCACATGTTATTCTTGTGAATGAGGCATCATGGGATTACTAGGAGTGATTGAGTGTTCTGATTGCATGGAACCTTCACCTTCTCATGCAAAGGCTCCTTCCTGCAGATGAGCTCACTGTAAGCAACCATAGGCCAACAGCATGCCCAACACTAGGGAAAGAAGCATAGACCCTCCTCCATTACATGGTGTCCCCTTCACATCACTAATATGTGATGAAGGCCCCTATTGAGCTAGATGGAAGGCTAAAGAAAGGGGGCCAGCCTTTAGTTTATGGTGTGACAAGCAGGGGCAGACTTGGGTCATCTTTCACAATATAGCACCTTGTGCGAGGCCAAAATTTGGCACCTCCCAAATGGATCTTCTCAGTTATGGATATTCTCAATTTTGTACCCCTTCGACTCGGCACCCTGTGCAGAGGAACTGTTCATGCCACCCTAAATCTGGCGCTGGGAAGAGATGCAAATATCACAAGAAAGGAGGGAAATGTCTTCTTGATTGACAGCTCCTGCCCAGGATAATATCCCTCTCTTAATAGCTTGCATCTCCTGGCAACATTTTCTTCTAGTGTGCACTTGTGTCATTAGTAACTGACCCTTCAAAAACACAAAGCGGTTCAGTGGAACAAAAAAACCCAACCTTACTTAATCACCAAGTGAAGCGTTACGTTAGGATAGAAATGCAATGTCAAGTACGAGTTTGCCTTTGCTAGATTTTTTGGCATTTAAATGGTCTAAATCTTACTTCTTAGCACAACCATTAGAGACTTTTTGATTTCTTGTTCTTTTGCTGTTGAATATGATCCAAATTGTAATTCCCTCCACCTTTCCTGTGAGCTTTCAAATCAATTATTAGCCCCAATGAACTGGGCTTGAACCAGACACAGCCTGCATACAAGGCCAGGCACCTAAGATAAACAAATGGTCTGCTTCTATAGTACAAGGTTAGGCAAAGTAATTCCGTTTGAAGAATTACTTTGTACTCAGCATGGTAGCATGTGCTAACTTGATTCTGAAAACGTTATTTATCTTTGCTTTGTCCGAGAGACGTGAACGGTTTCTAGGCATTGCTCTTGTTTGCCAGTGCATATCCCTCGGAGTGCAATATATTTTGCTGAGATGTGAACACCAATTCGGCTGCAAGAAAAGGCAAAGAAAGTTTTCCTTGTCCTTTCAATAACTATGGCAACATTTAAAATGTAATTGGCTTAGCACACTGACAACTCATTATTGAAAAGCAAAAAGGATGTTAGGCATTTAGATAATGAAGTGTCAATCAGCATAACAGATGTGTCACTTTGCCTAATATATTTTAGCTTCTGAAACTGTTTTGCCTTTCTTATTTATAGTTCTACATTGTGTGGATGTGCAGATAACTTGAGATCTAGAAAATCTGTTCAAGGATATGGAGGGTAGTGCTTAATTTCATAGACGTTAATAAATGTGAACAAAATATACACAAGGCAACAACACGTTCTATATACAAGGAGTGCCTCAGTGCTGTAACAGTCCATTCTGCCACCCTCCTCCCCAATTAAGCTGTTCCGCTTAATCAGACCAGAAGTAATGGGTACTGCATCTGGGGCAGAAGCCGAGAACTATACAAAAATGTTTATAACAGACATACAAACAGAGAATGGTTCTTTCTCTACTCTTAGATCTTGGTAGACTCCTGTTGGTGATCTTTTCTCCTATGCCATTCTCCATTGTTTAAAGGGCTCTTGCTGAAAGCCAGATTATAATGGTTGGAGCCATTGATCCAGGGCCATCGCTGGGTAGGGTCCCTGCTGTTGGCCAAAATCCTCAATCTTCCTTTTAAGTAACAACTAATCTCTAGTCCTTGTAGATTCAAAGATAGGAGACAAACTGTGTAGGCACTCTCCTGCCCATTTGTTTTGCGATAAACAAGCCCAGCCACACCTTTCAGTGTTTTCAGTTACAGTGGTACCTCGGGTTAAGTACTTAATTCTTTCCAGAGGTCCGTACTTAACCTGAAACTGTTCTTAACCTGAAGCACCACTTTAGTTAATGGGACCTCCCACTGCTGCTGTGCCGCCAGAGCACAATTTCTGGTCTCATCCTGAAGCAAAGTTCTTAACCCGAGGTACTATTTCTGGGTTAGCGGAGTCTGTAACCTGAAGCGTATGTAACCCAAGGTACCACTGTAATGAAAATAGCCACCACTTTGATTGACATTTAGGGAAGCAGTGATCCAGAGATATATATTAAAACATAGAGTAAATAGGATATGTACACACTGTACCCCTAAAGCCCATTTAAAGCCCATTCTTCCCCCTCAAAGAATTCTGGGCACCGTGGCTTGATAGGGCTTGGTGAGAATTGTAATTCTGTGAAGGGTAAACTACACATCCCAGAATTCTCTGAAGGAGGAAATGTGCTTCAAATGTGCTTGGAATGTGTCATGTGTGCTTTTCTGCAGAGGGAATTCCATGGTTTATTAGGAAGCCTTTGGGAGGCATGGGATAGAATGGTTTTATGGAAGAAATTTCTCAGACCATAAAGTATGTAAATGGAAGCACTAACGTTTAGACTGAGTTAAATAATAAAATATTGTTTTCAGGCTATCAGTGTGCCTTAAATTAATGTATATAGTAGACTAGTTAAAAATATCATGGGCTAGAAACTATGGTGGATAAATTTGCAAGGCTGATTTAAAAACTAGAATGTCTGAGAACTACATTTCAAAAATTTGAGAAAGAGGTAGCGGCTGCTGCTAGTGTGTGTGTGTGTGTGTGTGTGTGTGTGTGTGAAAGAGAGAGAGAGAGAGAGAGAGAGAGAGAGAGAGTGTACATACACACACAACACACACCCAAAACTTCATTTTATTTATTTGAAAAATGAAAAGGTGACAGCTACATATTTTTAGCTGAACGTGAAGGTTTTGCTCAGAGAAAGATGCATTGCCCTTGACATTGAACAGTGCTGGAAGCTGAGCGCTAGACCATCCAGCAAGGATTTAGAATGTGCAAATGAAAGCCTTTCCCCCCATGAATATTTATGTGAAGCCGTGTTCAATTTGAGGAGAAATGATAAGGATGCACCATTGATAATATGGTTTTAATAGTATTTCTTATGAAACCAATTTGAAAATACTCATTAAAAAATTGGAAAATGACTCAATTCAGGGAGAAAGTCACCATTTTCTAATGCTTGGATCCTACTGGAGGTAAATATATATATATATACATTTATTTTCTGTTTTGTCCCATTTACAGTATCATCAGTGCTTAGAAGACCACCTCCTTATCCATATCCTGCTGTGTCCTCTTTGATTTATGGAGAATACCCTCTTAATTACATTAATCCATCTTCAACATGCTTAGACAATAAAAAGCCATGGGGAGATGTGTTAAGTGTTCTCTCACAACTATAGAATTCTCTTGCGCTAAAACCTTAAAATCTTCTATGATCGGGGGTTTCAGAGCCAGTACTATCAGCTGTAAAGCTGGTTGGACACCCACTTCAGAGAGACAAAACTCTTTTCCTTTTTGTCAGGTACTTGCGTCGTCCCCCCCCCATCTCCTCTTCCAACCATCTTTTCCCTAACTGAATTCTCCTCCCTAGCAACTGTTCCCTAGCACCTGTTGCTATGAGTGTTCCTGCTTCCACACATTCCATTTTCTTAGATACTTGTACCTATGTCCCTAAGATTTTTACCCTGTGTCACAGTAGGAGGAAGGGCAAACCAGCATAACATCTACTGCCCTTGCTTTTCCGCATGCAAAGCCCCAAAACCTTTCCTGCAAACAGAGATCAGGATTGCATCCCAGCCCTCTTATATGTGAAGTAGCCTGTTTTGTTTTGTTTTTGACAGCTTCACAACAGGCTGAGAGACATAGCACATTGTCTGATTTCTTAACTACCCACATGTTGGAAGGAGCATAGAGGGTCTGAGTTTTAAAATGTCACATTTCACAAGTCATGTAGTTTGAGGAGTTTTGAAAAGCATTCAGAGCTTAAGATAAAAATCGTTAGGGTGGCAGATTTTGTTTTGTTTTGTTTTTTTAAAAAAACCAAGGAAATTTCTATTATGGAGAAAAGTTTGAAAACAGGCTTGTGAATCTTTACTTGTCTGAGTGCCTCAAGAGCAGGTAACGTTGACATGAATTATTTTTATGCCAATTTGTTTTTCTGTTAAGAGCAGAGTGTTATTTTTCAGCAGGCAAGATTAAATGTTTCCCTATCACTTCTTTCTGATTGGCTTTTGTTATCTTAGTTGGCAGCAAAGCATTGCTGCCTGCACACTCTTTTTATGATTTTATCCAAAAGAAAAGGAGAGGTGTTAAAGGTCTGGTGGCAGTACAACAACAGATGATGTCTTTTACACACATCTCAAGTTTTTGCTCCTACTTTCTGCAGAATTTGTTTTCCCCCTCTCAGTTTTGCTTAGAATATCCTAAGCTTTGACCTCCCTTTCCAACTACTCCGGAAAGCTCTGCCCTGAGTTTCTTCTTCGGCTGTGCGCTGAAGGAAACAGCTTTGTCATTTTCCACAACCACCATCTGTTTTCAGCAGCCAATGGAGTGAAAATACTCCATCCAAGGTGAAGTCCAACACAGCATGGGGACATTCCTGAAATGCAGGTGGCGTTTGTGCAACATGCCAGATACTTCTTCTATATAGCAAAGTGAAGACTGCAAATCCTAAACACAGTTACAAGGAGTGAGTCCTGCTATTTTAGGTTTTGTTGCTTTGATTTACTTATTGCAGTCACAGCACACTTTTTCTCCAATGTGGTGTACATGGCTCTCTTCTGCCCCCTTTTATTCCCCACAACAACCCTGTTAGGCTGAGAAACGGACTCGTCCAACTGAGTTTCATGACTGAGCAGGGATTTGAACCCTGGTCTCCCAGGTCCGAGCTCCATGCTCTGACCACTGTACCACACTAGCTCTTAATGCATTGGTTTAACAGTTGTGTGCAAGCAACTTGCTGCTAGCTTCTGAGAGAGCCAGGATTTGTATACATTGTATACAACTGTATAACAAGTCTGTCCAGAAATAAGATAAACTTTTGTCTAAAATGTATGTTTTGTTATTAGAATGGGAAACAAAAGACGAGCTTGTTAAAGCCTCAATGACACACTGAGCAATAGATATAGGACACAATATGGACTTTAACTCCTGGGAAAAACTCTGGAAAAGTGACTTGAAATTTACAGCATGTTATTCTTTGAAGGAGAACTACCTGAAAATGATTCACAGATGGTATTTAAATCCGAGTAGGCTTGCTAAGATGAACAAGACAGAATCAGATAAGTCGTGGAGGTGTAAGGAGGCAGAGGGAACATTACATGTGGTGGACATGTAAAAGGGTAAAAGAGTATTGGGAAATGATTAATAATGAATTGAAAAAAATGTTTAAAAGTACTCCCCCCCCCCCATAAAAAGCCCCCCAGAGTCCTTTCTGTTGGGGATAATTCAGAATGAAATCTCCAGGTGTCAGAAAAGGTTATTTATGTATGCAACAACTGCAGCACATGTTTTGTTAGCCCAAAAATGGAAAACAAGCAAGGTCCCAACCAAAGAATGGCAACTTAAGTTGACAGAATATACACAACTTGCAGACTTAACATACAGAATAACAGAACAAGAAGAGCATATGTTTAAAGAAGATTGGAAAACATTTATTGAATATATGGAAAATAATTGTGTATAGCTGAAAACACTGGCAGCATTAAGAGAAATTCAACAGTGTAAATAAGTTTTGATGGAGGCACTAATGGAATACTGATTGTTATAGTGTTTGTAAAATATGGAGGGATTTAAGATATGTAAAATGAACCATGGAAAGAGAATAAGAGAAGTCATTGATATTTTAACAATGTAAAATGAGTATTTGAAATTGTAAAACTTTAATAAAAAAAAATATAAAACAAGTCTGTCCAGAAATAAGTCAGAGTAGATATATATGCAAGTTCAGTGGTGCTCACCTCCAAGTAAGAGGGTATAGGATTGCAGCCTTGCTTATTCATTCAGCAATACTTCCAGGATGGTTTACAAAAGCAAGATAAAATATAATATTTTTAGCAAATTGGCAGGATCAAGGGAACAAAGCTAGTGACCCCAAAATTGAAAATAATCTCAATAATGGGTATGCATCCTGGCAATAGTACACAGCAATGTGGAAATATAACTATGGAAAATAACCTGAGCTGCTTCAATATTCTACTCACACTTAGCAAAGCTGCTGGATTTTTTGGGCACAGATAGCAGATAGCTTTCCTCTAAAGTCTGTGAGCAAGAACATAAGGATCCCCTGGTGAGCATCTTCTTAAGCTAACTACCACAAAGAAGCCATTGCTAGGTCTCATGATAAAATGCAACCACTGAACTTTCCTAATAGCTGATCCATCTGCGGAGCTCTGTGAATGCAGTGCTCATGTAGTTCAACCGGCAAACTCTTAGGGCACACAATAAAAGAGTATTTAAAAGAAAGTATGAAAGAAAGTTGCTGGGTCACTGCTGGAAATTTAGCAAAATGTTTGTGGTGGGTAACTTTAAGCTTCCCCACATTGGCCAGTTGCTGTGCTAACCCGATTTGTTCCCATTTGAATTGTTTATTAAAAGCTATATTTGCTGCAGTTTCTAGTGACCCATAAAAACAGAAAATGGTCTGTTATGTTTCCCTCCCCTTATGGTTTTGATCTATGGGCTACTTTTAAAATGAGGCTGCATTTTAAATTGCATTTTAACCTGTATTTTAAATTGGTTTCCCCCCCTCCCTATTATGTTTTTATTATAATTTTACTGTAATTTTACTGGTGTTAGCCGCCCTGAGCCCAGCTCTGGCCGGGGAGGGTGGGGTATAAATAATTTTTTTATTATTTTTATTATTATTATTGGGCAAAAGAGTGTAATGTGGCTGCTTTCACATGTAATATTAAGTCGCAGCTGGAAATATTCCATAATTCGCCAGGAATGTGGCACAGACTTTTCAGCCTTGCCTACTCTGCCTTACCCTCTGGCTTAATGTTACATGTAGCCCAGGACTTCTGGTTTGTCTCAAACAAACCATGGCTGGTAGGCCAAAAACAAAGCTTGGCTTGCACTCCTGGCTTTTTTCTTTTTTGAGAGAGAAACAAACTGACTGTTTATTTGCTTATAATACAAAACCATGATTTGTTTCTTGGCTCTGGAAAGGGAGAAAATGAAGTGGGCATGATTGAGCACCAGTATGCTGTTAGTTTGTGCAAACCAGGCCATAAGTTATGTATTTCTCTTGTGCTGTTAAAAAAAAAGTTCTTTCAAAGTTGAATACTATTGATGAAAGAGGCTCCACCAAATTATACAAGGAAGCCTTTGACGATCTTTTGCTTATCACTCACATAGGACTAAAAGCTTTATGGTCTTAGGATTTGACCTCCTCTAGAGAACTACTATTTTTGAATTATGGTGCTGGAGAAGACACTTGAGAGTCCCATGGACTGCAAGAAGATCAAATTTATCCATTCTTAAGGAAAGCAGCCCTGAGTGCTCACTGGAAGGACAGATCCTGAAGCTGAGGCTCCAATACTTTGACCACCTCATGAGAAGAGAAGACTCCCTGGAAAAGACCCTGATGTTGGGAAAGATTGAGGGCACAAGGAGAAGGGGACGACAGAGGACGAGATGGCCGGACAGTACAGTGTTCTCGAAGCTACTAACATGAGTTTGACCAAGCTGCGGGAGGCAGTGGAAGACAGGAGTGCCTGGCGTGCTCTGGTCCATGGGGTCACGAAGAGTCAGACACGACTAAACGACTAAACAACAACAAGAGAACTATTATGGACTGCTTGTATTCAGGTTTCACATTCTTCTTCAAGGACAGACAGCATCAAGCATATGAATTGGTCGGTACTAGGAGGTTCACCATCTGTCTTTGACTGGTCAACACAGCAGTGTGCCAGGGACTGAAGGTGTGATCCACGGAGTAGGACTGCATCTGGAAGAACCATGCCCCCTGGGTGGTGTAAGGAAGCAGGACTTATTGGGGTTCCATCAGAAAGCCTTAGTGGTGAAGACTTGCTGGCTTTAAGCATTGAGTGAAGCCTCTGCCACTTCAATGAGGAAAGTCCTGTCTCAAATAGAGGAGACTTCAGGTCAATCCACCATCCCTTTTGCAACAGGGAGGGAAGGACCTCCATTCCTTCTTCCTGACTTCCCAGCTTCAGGTCTCATATGGGCAAGAGTGGCAGCTGCTGTGGTTGATTACTGGTGCTGCTGCTTGGCTCTGGCTGGCCAGCACCCAAGATGGAGCTCTTCACACCGTACCTTCTTCCTGTGTCTTGGAAAAGCTTGTACCCTGGGCTAGGTGGAAAAAGTCCTACCCGATCTTCCTCTGTAGTCAACTCAGTTTATGCTGTTGAGTTTTGGCAGCTGTGGCTGCTCATAGCACAGGTCAGTTCAGCCACTGTGGGCAAGGCTGGCTACTACACTTGTCAGGATGCTACTGAGGGATTGGAGTGATAAAATTTAGTAGTGGATGTGGGAGAATGTAGAGTTAGATGGAGTCAGCTAAAACTTAAGAAGTGAAGAAGGGCTGCCTGAAGGCTATAGTAATAGAACTAGCTGGATGATATTGCTCCAGAAGGACTCCTATTATGGTTCACAGTAGCTCTTTATTTCATAGTGCTAATCTAGGATACTGGTAAATAATGCATCACAATCCCCCAAAGTGTGGCCATTTCATCCCCTTGTTGCAAAGATGTTAAAGTGAGATTCCTGTAGCATCTGTTGGTTGCATTATTACCTCTGTTTTTCTTGGAGCTTACTAGTGATATATCTTTGTTCTGTCTTTATTTCCTCCTTCCTCTTTAAGAAATTATGTTTGTCCTTTCCAACAGCAGACTGCATGACTCTGTAAACAAACTTTGTAAAAGGTTCTCACTCTCTCTATGCAGAAGCTATCCTTCCACTTCAAGGCTTGTCTCAGCTTCTTTGGATGTCAGAGGGATAATGCTGGAGGTGGCAAATGCATATATAGCAACAGAAAAAACATGCAGTTACCCTTGGTGGACAGGTGCTGTGTACATCATACAGGTAAAGCACTCACTCCAAAAGATTCTGAGAATAGTAGTTACCCCTCACAGAGCTACAATTCCAAGCACCCTTAACAAAATACAGTTCCCAGGATCCTTGGGGACATGCTTTAAATGTATGATGTGTACACAACCAGGTTCTTGTTTTGTAAAGTTTTTTTAAAAAAACGTTTCCAAAACTTTTTAAAAAAACTCTTACTTAAGAGGAATGGAGGCAGTATGAAGAATGTAGTGACGCGCAGCGTAAATTAATAATGCAGAGTTTTAAAGAATAAAAGCTTTACTGAGTTAAAATAAACTTCTTCATAAACAACATGGTTCCAAACAGTTTGACAGAGATTACATACTGACTCTGTTCACAACTGAAGCAGACAGACTGCTGAAATAAGGATTCATGTTTGATCTCTGGCCTCTCCAGTTAAAAGAGCTCAGTAGAAAAGACTGTGCAGTGTAGTGCTTAATGTGCAGGGAGACTAATAGATCTGGATCAAATCCCTGCCCATCCATGAAGCTCTCTGGGAAACCTCGGGCCAATTACCATTGCTGAGTCTAATCTACCTCACAGGGTTCTTGTGAAGATAAAAGGTGGGTGAAGAGTACTGTATGCTGCCTTGAGCTCATGTGGAGATATAAATGTAATAAATAAAGAAGATTGAGGGGGGGAGGGAATAAAGAAGGCTGCGAAGAACACCTGTGTTGTTGAGGGAGCATGCTCCTCCGCCATTTTGGTTGTTTCCCCATTAGCTTGGGCTCCAAATTACTCAATTTTGCTTTGGAAAGTGGGCTTTTGCTCATGAAGGGCAGAAAGGCTTCAAGCCCCTGGTAGCCTCTCTTGTATTTCATGGACAAGGTGATTCCTACCATGGCAGAGCAG